AAAGGCCGTCATATGTCCACAGTCGGACTGTCAATACAGCTCAGATTTGGGGAGAACTGTCCGTTTTTAAATAAGTAATTAATATTTCAGGGAGAAACATTTGTTTGGATTTATATCTGGAGCCGTCTCAGTTTCCTGGTCAACGATGAGGATCAGCAGGAATGCCAAAATGTTCCCACTTAACTGTCTTCATACCTGATTCAAACTCACCCTTAATGAACCTGAAGCTGGTGAAAACCTAAAATATGACCGTAGATGAAGGACACAGGGTTGCCACAGGTCTGGAAAGAAGATTTAACCATCATTCATTCCCATCAGTCTCTCTCTGTAGTCTACAGGTTGCTGTCACTGGCTCCAATATGCAGCTGGTCGCCTCCTTTAGCTCGAATTATTGAGGTTACTCGTGTTTTTAAGCACATTTCTCACATTAAAAAACCTCTGACTGTTAATCACAATAAAGTGAGAAAAAACTTTATTATTTAAAGGTTTTGTGCATAATTATAATAATAATACAAAAGGGTCTTGAATTTGGCTCTACAGTGTTTTAACCTGATAATAAAAAAGGAATAATTTCTATTATTATTCTCATATTCTTGAGTATTAAATTTCTACCGCCGTCTAATTAAAGCCCCGTTTACACAACAACAACATTTTATGGATTAAACTTTAAACTTTTGTTGTGTTTTTCTCCATTTTCTGGGTCTTAAAAACTTCTGAAACCGGGTTCCTGAGCGCGGTCTGTTGGAAACGCCTCCCTAATGGTGACACGTCAAAAATATATTTATATATATTTTTATTAGAAATTTTAAAAACAGACTTTTCCTGTAATATTTGTTATTTTAGTTAATTTGATGCAATATTGTTCAGGTTTGTTTGTTTCTTTCCTTGTCGTGTAAACGGGGCAGAAAGTAAACCGTTAAAGTCTTTGTAGCACCGCACTGGTTAGACTGGTATCTGTGGACATTAATCATTGGTCCTTAATTATTAAGGTAATTATTCCTGTGGCAACCCTGCAGGTAGGAACGCCTCGCTGACGCACACATTGTGTTTCACCGGCTCGTGAAGGAACACGACTTCAGGATCTTGTTGGATCTTCAGCAGTTGGTTCTGGTAATAATTCACCACAGGAGCCGTTTCTCCTCAGTTTCACCGTTAGCTCGAC